AATTTTACAACCACATCATAATCAGCCTCTCATTTATAAAATGTTCACTTTGTCTGGTTTTGTTGCAGTCTGCCCCACATAGTATATATGGATAATAGAGATTTTCAAAATTAGAGGTTTTTTACTATTATTTACTAGCGAGTTACGGATATTTTTTGTATGTAGAAATTCTAATGGTAAACTACAACATTATAAACGCCAAGGTATTGTCAAGTAGAGCCAAACATACGTATTCATTATACGGTTACACACAATGAAGTACAATGAGCATTTTCAATATGGAAAAAGATAAAGCGTTTGTCAAACATAACAAAGCCTTGTAAAAAGTATAGCGTCGTCTTTGTTAGATAAATCGTCGACTATGCACAATATGCACCCTTTTTACACATAACATTCAAATTATTCATAGTGAAGACTAAAATTTGCATACACACGCCATGACGTATAATCCTTCAGTCCTTTGGCTTGGCATATTGTTTCGTAACCACTGAGGCAAAATCTGCCAAGAAGATTATAATGAGACGTTTAGAAAATTCTGAAGAACAAATTTATGAAACGCAACATGGTTAAAATTTGAACACATGATTAAGGTATTAGTAGGAAGAACAATTGGATAAATTTATTCAGTTGACCAAAATAACCAGACCGAAGCGACAATAGCTGGTTATGAATATGAGCTGTTTGAGAACAAAACAAAAGCTATCGGTGGAATATTTACCACTTTTACTATGTAGTAAACTTTGAAATTGTCTAGTCGGCCCGCTCTTCTACTAATTTATGAACGCTATTGCAATAAAAAAGATATAGAACATATGATAAAGTTCGCACTTTATTGTGTAAACACTGCGTATGTGACAACTCGATGAATATCACCAAAATGATGAAACGTTAATTTATGTCTATTAATATTAATATCTGGTTTTAGCTTAAAATTTATTACTCAATAAACAAACGCCTAGCACGTAGTTGAATTCATATAAACATTTCTGCGTAGTAGTAGCCACACATTAGGTCTGCTTTCTCTTTTGACCATAGATAATAGCAACTATTGTAACACATAAAACCAAGTTGGTAATTCTTTAATATCAGGAATGGGTTATAGAAATTCTATCTGATAATTTTTATTTCATTTGCAATTGAGCACGAATAAGCCTATTCGATTACTTGTAATATTAATATGGAAATTATATCAATGAACTTATTGTTGTTACACGTACATTACAGTGTTTTTCAGGTTTAAAGCACTTTATTATAATTGTTATTGTTTTCTAAATAAATCGATTTCTGTGAGTGTTCCTGGAGCTGTTATATGGCACATATACATTTAGCTAACACTGTAGTTTCACTTAATAATAGACACGATATAAATTATTTCATGTAGTTTTGTATCCAATATTTCTTTACTATATCGTCAATTTCGAAATTTATCCTGAAAATTGAAAATCGACAGACTTTTCCCACTTAAGATATATTGAGGCATCTCGCGCTATCGTTTATAACCCTTAAGTATATCTTGTAAAGTTGTAACTACATGCTTGACAATAAATTAATTTTAATGTTACAATGCGATGGAAATTAACCTTACAAACTTCTAATTACTCTGATAACTTGATACGCAAAATTTATATTTATATTAAACCGTTGTATTTTAAACGTTGTCTCTTCTTATTCTGTAATTATATATCCGTTATTAAATTTTGCTATAAATAATATTTATTATTTAACGAGACATTCACGACAAAAAGGTTTGTTCTAGCAGAAATATATCATCGAGACTTTCTAGACGCCAATCCAAGTCTCATATTCCGATTGCAAGTCGATTGCTAACCGAGAAATAAGTCTAGTTCTAGCTTTAACGATGATGCGGATTTGGTTTTTCATTTATGAAAGACAGCAGCGCTTTCGAGACTTGGATTCCAACGGTATGTACGACTACTTTGTGACTGAATACGCCCGCTATATAGAAATAGTTACGTCATTATTCACATGCGCTCATATGTTTATTTGACTGCTTGTCATTTACATACCACCCACTCTACTGGTTTCTCTACATTATTTGTCTCACCATTCACTGTAGATATGCAATATTTAACGTCACAGGTTCTTTGTAATACAGTACATGACAACTTTGAGCTTGCGATTTACATTGATTACATCGATTGATTATCTAAGTTGATGATATATCACATCTTACAAATCTTGCTATTGGTCAGCCACATACTTGTCGTTAGCTAATAGAATCGTTAATGACCACAGTTTTCAATTTTATCATCTGTGATTCTGTGATTGTATCTCGTAATATTCATTTACCAGGTATTGTTTCTTGTATTTTTGATTGACTGTTTGTTGTTTACATTTGGAAAGTATAGCAACAGAAACAGCGAGACACAAGAACAACAAAAACTATTGACAATGTATGGAGAATGAATTTATGTATTATATACGGCTTTATGCTAGTAAATTAATTATATCGACACAGCAATTGACCCAAAACATTCTTAACCCCTCCCCGCGGAGATGTTGGGTACATTCACCGCTGACCTGCATAATGGCAGTCACCCCCACCGGGGACAATACTCCGCCTCAAGAATTTGATCGCTTTGGGAACAACAAACAGGTTTCCAGCCTCGTTCCTGTGCATTATTAAAAACCTATTAACAGTATATCACATTCACACAAACTGATCACAAGGTCCCACTCCCGTCCCCTCACCCTCCGTTTCTTCCTATGATTGGCCATCTTTTCTGACATCATCTCCCCCTAAACCTCACCTGCAAAAACATTATTACTCCAACAAACTCGAGACAATCTGATATATATCTTTTACAACAGTTGGATTTTAACCCACCAACTAAACCTTTTAGCAGGGCTTATTCTTCCTTTAATAAAATAATGCCCCAAGAGCCTAAAGCTAAGAAAAAACGGGTTCCCATCACTGCTCTGACAAAGCAAGAGATTTGCCTTAAGAAAAGAGACAACGGAAAACTCAGGGACGAAGACCTCGCTAGAGAGTATGGCTTGGATAGAAGCACTATAACCAAGATCCTCAAGCAGCGCGAGAGATGGTTATCGATAGACCCTACGTCGAACCATGCGAGACAAAAGACGCAAAAGTCCCCTAAATTTCCACAGATAGAGTCTGCTCTAGCCGACTGGTTGACCATGGCCGTTTCGAATGGAGAGGCCGTCAGCGACGCTCAGCTGCAACAAAAGGCGTTGGAATTTGCGCAAATGTATGGCCTTAGAAACGAGTTTCAAGCGTCCAATGGATGGATATCAAAATTCAAGACGAGGCATCATCAACCAAGAAACAACAGCGACACTACCACGACCAATGAAGTTTCCCTGTCAGTCAGTCAGCCGCAGACTGTGCCTGGCACGTCCGTTCTTTCCTCCTCCGAGCATCAACCTTATATCAATTTGGTAAGTGGTGGTTTCGAGAGAGTGCATGGGAAGAGAATGTAGTGATTGCTTGGAGGGCAATTCGAATAATTGGATGAGAATGCGAATACGATATGAGACCCCTGGTGTAGAGAGCGTGGGCGTTTTTTCAAAAGATAAGGGAAAGTGCAATTTATATCGAGATATCACAAGTGATTACGTCCACCAATGATGACATGATTGCTAGTGATAATTGCGTATATTAATGACTAACGTACCTATCACATAATAATCACTAAGAATCTACACATCACTAACTTCTTTCCTCTATCATTTAATATACGTGCATCATAATACTATACCCAATCTATTTTTGTATCACTCTCGACATGTATATTTCATTCAACTAGACACCAACCACCAGCTACACTACTCCACAATCCTCAAGAACCAATGGGGCAACGACAATCTCGATGGGACCTCCGTCAGGCTCACCACTCATCCATTACCCGGGCACAACCTCAAATACTTTGGGGAATCCATTCACTCCTTCACGCATGTTTACTCTTGATGCCATGTCACATTTTTCACTGGATAATACAGCGTAAGTATAGGTCGGGATGACTATGAGAAAAGGATTGGGACGAAGTTTTGAAAGATCAAAGAATCAAGACGAGGATTAGTCGTATTGAGACAACGACGCAAATAGCAATCAACAATCGCGCAGAATAATCTTTCGCAGGCTGCAATATCTCATATATACAAAATTTCTAATTTTCTAGGTTCGTCTTCTGCGATTACCAAAACGATGTCATTGCCATGTAAGTCGCCTTTTCCTTCGTTTCATTTACTAGTGAAGAATAAGGGCTTTTAGACAACGACACGAAACACCCAATTGAGTCTGTGTTACTGAAGTATGTGTATATGTGCTACATGCTAGATTACATATCACACTAATCATCTTCATCACCCAATTTCCACATATCCAATAACTAAATCCTTCATTTACTCTCCCCATGGTTTGAATTCACTAGGTATCAGAATAACGCGAGTCTGAACCAATGTTTGACCAAATCGCGTAACCTTTTCCGGTCAGTACATCAGCATAGGCAGAAGAAGAATCTTGCAATTATTTCTGTTGGTGTTTGTGTAAGTTGACTCGAGCTGCCATAATAATGTAAAGACATTTGAAATGCGGTTCCAAGTTTGTTGGACTGCCGGAAAACGACTTTATCCTATACGATCCATCGTCATACGCCCCAATTGTTCGTTCCCCTTTTGTCCTTACCTAGTTTTATCCTTACTTCTTACTAATTTTCAAGCATTCCATCTACATTGTCTAGTTCCGACAAGGATATCCTGAAGTATCTCCTCACAATGCACATTTCTTAATGTGGAAACAGTTCGGCAGACTCGTTGAGGGAACTAAAGGGGCCGAGTTTATTGACGGATTGGTACCTCACGAGGTCGGCTATTTGTTGCATTTTGAACGCGTTTTTTTGAATATGCTTGTGCTGACAATGTTCCTCTTTTCCATTTCGTTTTTTTTAGGGCGATATCGTTATTAAGGTTTATATCTGAAATATTTATATCATATTTACTGTATTTGTTTCGATTCTCGTGTCCACTTTTATATTTGTTCTTTTCCGCTAGTCTGATATAACTTTTTTTGTTTCCATTCCACGCACATCCTCTTTACAATGGCAAAAAATGGCCGTGTGCCATACGTAAACATCATGCAAACTCCTGTCAAACATTACCCGTATTGTTTAGCAGACGTTTTCATGACGTTAACCTATTTGCATATGATTTGCTGTAAAATCCAGTACCAAACCTCATGCTGCAACCGACTAACATAGTCTTTTATTCCAACCCTATATTCACATGCAGAAACGCCGCATTGATGCCTTCTACAATACAGAACTGAAAATGGTCCTTGAATCACGTAACATCCGTCAAGTCGTACTTGCAGGAATCGACACCGGCGGGGTAGTTCTAGCAACCATGCAATCTGCTGCTGATAGGGACTTTAAAGTCGTTGTTGTACGCGATTGCTGCTTCGATGCTAGCGAATCAGTACAAAATACGCTTATGGAAGAGGTCTTACCGAAATATGGTGTTATGGTTGTTAATTTGGAGACTATTATGGCGATGCTGAGAGTTTAAGATGATTGAAAGCTGTTTGACAAAGGAGGAGTCAGGTGGGGAGAGAGAGGAGGGGGGGCATGAGGTGTGGCGAGTCTGTGGTAAATGTGATTTAGAAGCGCATTAGATAATACTTGACTGAATTTTAGAACCAAGCGCAGTTAAAATTTTTTGTAAGATTGTTTCTATCTGGTAGAGGATTTGACTTCTTTCGCGCGTAATTTCTTTTCATTACTCACTTGTTTTTATACAACAGCATTTCTGTCATTTTGAACAAATAGGAGAGTGGGGCTAAGTCAGGAGAACTAATCGATTATAGTCGATATAATTCAATTATCTCTAATATGCTTATCTCATCCATTATTAGTATGGATACTAGTTATACGTTGCTTTATGCTTTCTATTTCTTATTTCTATTTACTTTTCTGTGTTATTATTTTTTCCCACTTGAAACTTTCAGTTCATCCACTTACCCTGCCTGTACATAGTATGTATTTATGATAACCGCGCTTTGATTCTATTTAAATAAGTACAAACGCAAAAGAATAAGAAAAAAATTTACTAAAAAATAAAAAGCTCGAAAGCATGTCGACCGTCTGAAGGGCGGTTGAGTACAGTGGACTCAAACAGTTGTTGGATGAGTTGGGGGGGTGGGGGGAAGGGGAATATGCGAAAATTTTTCGTGAACCGATCACAAGCCGTGATTGGGAGACTACACACATACGGTAAAAGGATGAGAGGTTTTTAATAGGGAGGGTATGACATCAATATTAATTGCAATATGACATCAGCGTTAATTACAGTAGATTAAATATGTAAGATTGTATTGACGCCATTCGATGATACGTTCTATGTCACCCTTGTGTTTGGAATAAAAAAGATCGGTTCGATAGATCGATACAAGGAGCTTTTTACGATTGGTTAAAGCGGAAAAAATGCAAATGTTAACCAATGGTAAGCCAAAGCCAACGTACATATTTCACATGCATTCTGTGAAAATAGTCTAGTGGATGTTACATTTTCTAAACCGTTCTTTTTGCCAATCAATTATCCGTCGTGAATGATCTTCCGTTCCACGTGTATTTAATATATCGATGTTAATTGAATATTCCTAAATAAGTGTCTTGACAGTTATAAGATCACGTGAACTTGCTATATCGATTTGATCTGACACTCATTAGGGTGAGTGTGAGTGCTTACTTTTGAAACTGTACGGTATTACAAAAACACGCATCAGCTCAGACCATCTATTGTAACGCTAATACTAATATATCCCGGTATGAACAAGATATTGCGTAACAGGAATGGTTTAATAAAAGGGAGGTATTGAGAAGATTATTGCAAGTAAGTCGTCACATGTGAAGGCCGAAGGAGAAAGCCAACGGTTTACAGTCTTATAAGAATTAGAACTAATATATGAATGTATCAGCTCATTGAATGAGAGATGCTTTGATATTCATTACATTGATAAGATTTTACTTAACAAATGCGTTGTACAGTATTTATTTAATGTGTCAAGAACGCTCTAGACTAGATTGCGTATGGATTATAACTAAATTAGAATTTACAGTTTTTTGTTTTATGTTTGTTTTATACATTTTAATTCACTCGAAATTTATCTCAAGTATACATCAAAAGCTCCTCTAAATTTTCGCAGCTCTCGAATGTGAAATTCAGAAACGACCTCTTCGTTAATGATCTAACCAATGTCCTTTTGCACAACCCGTATTGTATAAGCTTGGCAATAGCTATATTCGAATATTCACACAAATCACCAAAGGCCTCAAATATGTGCAGCCATAACTCAAGTGGCAAATGAACGGTCTTTCTCATTCTTATTTCATTTCCTACTCGCTGCCACGGAAGGTTAAACGCACACATCCTCACTATACACAACAGCTTTGTTGCCGCTGCACAGTCTGTCGTCCTGATAAGTCGGACATTCTGGTGTAAAAGATACATTATTCTGTCAACTATTTGCAGAGATAGTTCTTCTTGTGCTTTGTTAATAGTAGTCACGATTTGTTGATAACTTGTTTGAGCATTGTCGAATTCGTTGTAAGCAAACGTACCCGAATCAAAAGTGAAAAGTTCAATGTTGGTGTTTACTTCAAGAGTCCTGCGTATGTCGATTAGGCAATTAGTATCCAGGTGAGAGAGATCAAGTGGACATGCTATGACCCGACGAAGCGTTTTGTTATACAAGAGCGAATCACATAGGGTGGAAATTGTTGCTGGTGTCATCCGACTGCCCGCAAAATGCACAGACTTTAATGAAACATTCGTCTTCAATGCCGCTGTAATTGCTATTAGTTCCTCTTCAGTAAAATCATTTCCTGCGCATGACAATGCAGAGCCCGTGAACGTTGGCGATGCTAAAAACGACGCCACGACAAGACCTTTGCTATCTGATGATTTTGACTTGATTTGAATTTCTAGGCTTCCCGAGGAGCAGTCGGAGCAATATTGATTGAGAACATCGAAAAACTCGGTTAATTCAAATGTGGTGACGGTTTCAAGATTCATAGTGACAACGTTTATGCTACACGTTTCGGTTGAATGTTCGAGGTTGAGACAGACCGCACAGAGGTGAAACACGTCCCAATTATATCTATAAGAAGATGATGCGGGATGTGAGTATGCAAATAAGCATGTTAAACGTTGATGATTAGTTTGGGCTCATTCATACCTTGTGCTTCCATCATCTTTTAATTCTTTCGATTCAAGTAATGTAGAATGTCTTACTGATAGATAATCCGCCAGTGCTTGTTGCAACTTTTCCCTGTAATTTTCTTGAGCATGATTAATGTGCCTATAGGATATTCCCCATAATTTAAAGTATCCGTCTACTACGCGTGGGCTCAATTGACATAACGGAACGCCGTCTATAAATGAATTATACGCATCTGGCTCTATATAGGAGATACAACATATGAGACGATACTGTATGTAGAACAGAACGTTCAATTCGCAATGTACATACCTGGATTTAGTTTCACTTCTTCGACCCGTGATGGGACGTCTTCCTTGTATAGATCATCAAAATCAAATTCCTCCATAATTCTTTTAACGTTGATGTTGAACGTGTACGTGTAATTTTGGATAGTGAAAGCATTCTTATATATTTAGTATCCAAATTACTACGCCGGGGCCGCAGACAGACTGCGGCAAAACTACACATGCAAATTAAGATCTATGTACAACTATATTTAATATACCAATAAGTTACCATATTTGAAGTACACAGGCAATTGTGATTGTATCACTCTGCATTAATTATAATTGTTGTCATTTGCTATTTTAATTTAGTTGACTGTGTTACATTGTATTGTATTTATTGTTCAGAAAAACAAATACAATATTATTTCGAATAATGTGATACTTGTGTTCAATCAACAAGACAGAATGCTCTTCAATTACAATGTTCCCTAATAAGTCAATAGGCCGACTCGTGACCAAAAGTCGAACGGAAGAAAACTAACGACAATATTGGGCGAGTTTCTTTTACAGGTCAGTAGGTGCGTAGGACTGCTCGATGCAATTAAATTTGCGTAATGTGAAAGTAACCACTTATGGCATGCTGCGCATCCGTGACTCTAAAATACGACTGCGGGTCTAACTTTAAAGTGAGGGACTGTGTTCGTGGGCGTAAATAAACATATAACACAATGCACAAGTTGTGTAATGTCCGAAAACGAAATACATCGTGGATGTCTTGTGTCACTTTTAGTCAAAATGTGTCATTCTTACTTCTCAATATTCTACTGGATATACAACGTTCCGCGTACATCCCGCTTAAGGCCAAGGCCAAGTTACGATATAGTTGTTGAACGTAATCTATCGGGTTATGAATTGAAAATGAACGCAACCTTTTCGGGTGGCACAGCACAAATCGTTTCCCGATCCAGATGATAATGATCGGTCAAAAATAGCAAACGATTGAGGATGGTGTCCTGCGGCAAGGACAGAACTGATGAGGACATTGTAAATTTATCAACTGTAGCGTCGATCAATAATCCAGTAGTGCTCGTCATAGGGATAGCAATGCCCGTAATATTAACACAATTTACTGCAGTATAGGACTCGCTGGTCTGCTTTCTATTTAATAGTGTTAAAAGTCGATGGCGCGGTGTACTATATTAGCACTATTACCATGAGTAGGTGGTTTATAATATTTTTCTTGAAAAAGTCTCCAAGTCTGGAGAGCCCTTAATCGTTTTTCGCGTAAATTCGAAATAATTTGTTGGTCGTCGCAAATGCGGGGATTTCAACTTGAGCTTTCTCTCATAAACGATCGTGAAACATTCAGATGAAAACAGAATATACCTTACTTCTTGATAATATTTGAATAGACGAGTTGTAAAGTTTGCGGGGAAAAAAAGCAAATGTGCTGCAGCGTCCTGATTCAATTCTAGAAACGGCCGGCGTAATTTGCTTGCAGCACACTGATATACTTTTATTGATATTAAAATAGTTTGTAGATATTGGATATATTACAAAATAATAAATCTATGGAGCGAATGATCTTAATCGCTGTCGCCGAAATAATATTGAGTTGACTTGGCACGTCCACTCCTCCGTGTCCGAGTAAGCTTAGGCTCCTCGCTTTTTTCATCGGATCGAGCAGGTACAGCAGCTTTCTTTGCAATACGTTTTCTGGGTGAAGTATTGGACTGAGCCGGCTGGAATACCACAAAGATTGGTTCATTAATAACCCTGTATGATAGTAAGCCAGTGTATGCTTTATCTACTTACCTCAGGTGTATAATCTTTATCAGAATCCTCCAATAGAATAACTTTTGCAGGTGGTGCTGGTTTCTTGACGTTACGTTTCTTGGGAGAAGATTTCGTGGGCTTCTTACCCTTGCCACTTGAAGAATCTTCCGCCTTCTTGGCATCCATCTCTTTCCAGGAGATCATGAATTCTTCCAAGTCTTCTTTCCATAAATCTTGTGGTGATTTGCTCTTTAAGATGTCAAGCTGGTTTTGCTTGGCGTCTCGCTCTTTCTTTAATTGCTCGACCTGTATTAAGATGACAAATTGTAGATAATGAATGTAATTGTACCGATTCACTATCAATACGCGAAGATTAATCATTTCTCATACTTTCTCCCATGTCAAATGCCAAATAGACATATTCAACAAATAACCGAATCCCTCCACATCATTGGCAGTTTCGGGCGAATTGTCGTCTTCATCGGATGCTTTGACATCCAAAGTCTCAAAGAATGTAATATAGCCCCGTTCCTTGAGTGTACGGATTATAACGTTTCTCTTGCGGTTTTGTATTATTAGTTTTCCTTCAATAATTTCTGTAACAAATCGCACTTTGTTCTCAAGTTGTTCACAACCTTTATTCAGCTCGGACGCAAGCCATTCCTAATAATATACCCGAAGAATAGAAAGCGTGAGATCAAGGCATTAGAAATGACCTTATAAAGCAGTTTTCAATGATAGCAGTATTTCTACTGACCTTGCGCTTCTCATAATATTCCAACCGCAGCTTGTAGAAATCATCCATAATTTCATTAATGGTAGCATACTTGGTGATCTTCAGTTCCGAATTAAACAGCACCATATTCGTAGTCTTAAATGTCTTGCTCAGTTTGAACTTACTTTCCAAGCCTTCCTCTAGCACTTTGTTCATATTCTCCTCTGTCAAATTTACAACAAAGTGAACCGAAGTATCTGTGTGATACTCTTTATAATCCTGTTCAAAATAAATTTCGAATTATATGATGAAACAAATCACGCGTCTGTACGATATCTAACAAACTTACTTTGATAAATGGTTCCTTCTTTCCTTTTTCTGTGCCTGTCATAAATTCCTCGAGCATTTCCTTGTAAGATTGTGTCCATACACCAATGGGTAGTTCTGTTATTTCAAGAGAAGTGTTGTTGATCTGCTGGATAATTCCTGTTACTTTGTATGAGCCTTCAGATTCCTCAACAATCCCGCCCTACGTTGAAATAAGGAACTTCTGTTAGGTTTTGACCCCAACTTGCAAGGAGATATGATAACACGTCCATCCCCCGATACAATTGTTCGAGAGGAAAGACGATAACAATCTTGATAAACATGCTGAATATGACGTTAAACATACTTTAAACCCTCTATACCATGGATGCATCTTTTCATATTCCTCACCCTGCATTTTCCGCAATAAATTATTTACAATGTCTTCCGGGTTATAGTTAGGTAGCTTACAGCTCCACCCAGTGCCAATACCTTCCCCACCATTGACAAGAACCATGGGTAGTATAGGCAGGTACCTATTAGGAAAGTTTTGTTTAACAACTGTGTATCAATAAACCGTAGCTTCTCTGTTCCTTCGTAATCACTTACCATTCGGGTTCGATAGACTGTCCATCCTCGTTCAAGTAAGCCAATATTGCATCATCCTCCTTTCTGAATATCTTCCTTGCCAACTCTGACAACCCCGTGAATATATAACGAGGACTAGCAGCATCCTTTCCACCTTGTAACCGAGTACCAAAACATCCAGCAGGCACCAGAAGGTTGATGTTATTACTGCCGACGTAATCTTGAGCCAGCCCAACGATGGTTGAAGACAAACTCTGTTCGCCGTGATGATAGGCGGAATGTTCGGCGACATAGCCTATAAATGTTAAAGTATGGTTTTGTAGTTAATCATGAGCACACTATGGGAGACGTAAGAAAGCCTTTATATGAAACAGAAAAATCGCAGGCATCTCGCATTCTACAATGTCTTACCGGTTAGTTGGGCAACTTTCATTTCACCTTTGAGATTACGTTTGAAACAGCTAAACATAATCTTTCGCTGTCCTGGTTTTAGTCCGTCGACCACACTAGGAATGGAACGTATATTATCTGCCATTGCTTTTTGTGACAAATGGATTTCCGTTAAAATCAAGGTAGGCAAATGAATTGTATTTGTATAATAAGATAAATATGAAAACTTACAAAATAATATTAGTTCCTTGTTTATAAAATCCTTAATTTGAATCTCGCTTGTACTGTGATCCATGTACGTGCCGGGCTAAACATTGTCGAAGTTAACATACAACCAATGAGTTGAAAAATCTTTTAACTTGTATATTCAATCTGTAGAGTTTGTGATCACGATGCGAATATGCTGACCATAAAGTTCGCCAACCATTGCTTCCGATCGTCCGCTCGCTTCTTATTGAAGGCCATATCGATCAGTCGATGATCGTCTTCATCAGCAGATGTAAACGGTTTTCGATGCTGGTCCATCTTGGCGAAATACCTACGGGCATCTTCGGCAGTGCTTGTACCCAACCCCTATTGAGAAAGAAATTATTTGATATATGCAATAAGGATTATATGCTTGTCGTCTACCAACGTTGCTAGAATATAAGTGCTTACTTTGTAATATTTGATATTCCAGCCTTTACCGTTGTTATTAGCTGCTTTCCATGTTTCATATTCAGGTATTGTGTAGAAACTAATTTCTTGCGAATTGCCTTTTGTTGCCTGACGCGACCAAATCAAATAATAAATTGTTAATCGAGGCAAACCTTGGATCTATATTCGCACTTGTCATTCCGAAAGAATGTTAGGATAAATATTGTGAGATAATACCTTTACGATTGGTGTTATAAACTCGAAAAGAAATCCAGGCAGCTTCAATAGGGATGGATAGAAGTGATCTAAGAAGTTTATAATCAACCCCTTGATATGCGAGCCGTCATGATCCTAATCGGCATAATAATAATTACTATGTAAATATGTATCTCCAGGTGGCAATCTTGCATAATTCTATCCCTCTCGATTCTAATATAGCACCTGATCAGTCATAATCATAAGACGTCCGTATCGTAGGCTATCAGCACTCGTATATTCTTTCGCATGCTGTAGCCCCAATATTTGTTTAATGTGGTTCAATTCTTGATTCTCGGACACCTGTTTGAAATTAGCATCTCTCACGTTCAACAGCTTTCCTCTTAACGGAAATACTCCATAACTATCCCTTCCCACTACTGATAGCCCACTAACAGCCAACGTTTTCGCCGAATCCCCTTCCGTAAGAATCAAAGTACATTTTGCTCCAAATCGGGTACCGGCATGATTAGCGTCGTCAAGTTTAGTGATACCGCTGACGCGTGAGCGTTTATGGCCATCAGTTTTGCGAAGTTGCTGTTCTTGTTTGACTTTCATGTAGTTGACGAGACTTTCAACTATATCGGTTTTGAGTACTAAAAATGAATATGTAGACGGTTACGCTCTAGTCATATGTATCATGAATCGCATCTAGCAAGTAGCCTTCTATTAATTCACCTTTCTTAACAAATTCTTCGCTCAGCGAAGCAGCACTTCCAAAAGAATTTCGTTGTAAAGTCAGAGTCTCTTTCGTCTGTGAATCGAAACTCGGGTTTTCAATCAGACAGTTTACAAAAACCCAAAGATGGTTTTTAATTTGAGCAGGTTTTGGTGGATTCGCCTGCTTCATCTTCTTCTTTATGGATTCTGTTATCTCGCGAACTAACTGGTCTGTGATATAGTTAACATGAGTGCCTCCTTTTGTTGTACAGATACTGTTGACGAAGCTGACCTTGCAATCAGAATCAGGTCATTAATGAGAAAGACGTGATATTGTTACATATAGCCGAATTGTTTTATTATAGTAACCAGTTTCTAGCTCACCTGTTGAAATTGTCCATCGCTGGCACAAACACCAACTTCCCATCGATCATTAACGTTTTCATAAACAAGCGTTGGTTTCGTCTCTCTATCTGCCATCTCTTCTTTAAAATACAACTCACAATACTGCTTGAAATTCTTCACTTTAATTCTCTCTCCATTCAAAAACACTTTTATATTTTTAACACTTCCAGCCAGATCATAGACGCGTTTAATAAGCAGCGCCTCGGTATCCGCATCAATTTCGGTCATGCCAAATTTGCTGAGATCGGGCTTGAACGTGATACGAGTAAAATCTTCTTTTTTGTTGGCAGCATTAAGTTTGGGTTTGCTCATTTGCCCCATGTTGTGCGAAAATACCTGTATCGAATAAATAATGCAACGACGTTGTCAGTATTTCTTCATTTGCATAACACACAATAATAGTAATATATCATCACCTGAGTGAATCGTTTTCCTGATTGTTTGTTACTTGTTTCAACAGTAAACTCAGCGCTGAATATATTACATAATTTCGCCCCATATCCATTTCGTCCACCAGTGACTTTTTTCTCGGTATCGTCATAATTAGAAGATGTGAGCAAATGTCCAAATATTAGTTCCGGCACATAGACGTTTTCCTTCTTGTGTATTTCTACCGGAATCCCTTGTCCGTTATTATAAATAGAGATGGAATTCTTGTCTCTGTCTATTGTTACTTTGATAGTATTCATCGAGGGATCTCGAATCTTTGTCGAATCGAAGAACGTGTTTAGGGATAGTTAGTAAACTATACACGAAAGTGTAAACAGCAATTCGATTCTCGACTTTGAGTTTGAATAATTCAGAGATACCTTATTGTCAGCAGCATTTACAAGAATTTCGTCGAATATTTTATATAAGCCAGGGACGAAGGTTATGGGGCGGCAAACCATTGCTTCTTTGGTTTTGTCAAAGACCCACAGGGTTTCGGTTACAGCCTCGACTGAGCCAATATATGTGTCTGGACGTTTCAGGATGTGCTCGATCTGAGTTACCTTCTGATAAGTTTCTGTGCAATTCAGATGGTAGAATCGAAGCTTATTACTTTACAAGAATGTTATGTTTTGCAAAGCATACTTAAATACAGCATCGCGTTATCGTTACATAGAAGTTGAACACAATTCTATACAGCTTTCGGGCTAGTAGTTGTTTATCCAACATACTCTGAAATCCTATAAGGCTGTAGATGCTCAAGTAACATCTCGGAACATGCTATTTACCCTCAATAGTCTTTTCTCCTCTTGGATCCAACGATGTAGTTGCCATGTTTGATGTCATTATTCGTATAGCGTATCTATGGGATATTTTTTTCGCGTAATTAATGGTATATTTATAAGAAGATAGTAATGAAGAGAAACTTCTTATGGGTGAAGTTCTCATCAAATGCTACAGGGTCGTTGTACGTCAAGTAGATAAATATTTATTGATTAGGCTTCTATTTATGGGATGCTTGTCGTACATCATGGGGGACAGTCAACGCGTATTAATACTACAAAAGGCAAACTGTGCGTCGGAAGGGAAATGTATCAACGTTAATTGATGTGTAGCGCACGCGTTCCTTCATTATCATGATTTCAACGCGAATGCGTTTCTGGGCACGTTACGTGAATGGAACCACATCATTGGTTTGCCACGTGCTGTAATTGGCCGATATTTATGCATGTCACAGGGAATGCATGTAATATGTAAGACGCTTTTATTGAATCCAGAAGGAATTATCAATCGACTCTCTCACCCAGAAACAGAACGGATTTCCCTTTATAAAATTCCCCTGCATATATCCACTTTGATATCTCACGCCCGTTGATATCATTATCAACATCGGATTTCACTCTTAACTAGAGATTAGACGAAAGAAGGGGAGATTTTATTATGAGTAAAATTGCTTACTATCGTATACGGCATTAAGAAAGACGTGGTAACTCTAGATAGATACGTGTGTTGTGTCTGAGTTTGGGACCTATCTCAGTTCAGAACCAGAGCTCAGTTGTCTCGGTCCAGAACTGAGACAGGTCAATTTGGAATGACAATGACAGCGTCAATACGCACGTATACCATTATACAAAATATACCTAAAAACATCCCAAAGAAAAGGACAAAGAGACTCCCGTAAAATAAAAGTACAGCATTATGGCGTATTTGCATATTCACCATGAGCATCCATAATTGGAACTGAGTGAAAAATATAATGAATTTCACAGAATATTTTACATTGTACTGAGCCCATTAGCAGAAGCTGACCTATGAAAGACATCCATCTCTGACATACTCCAGATACCCTACACAATAATATGGGGCAGACTGTAACAAGACCAGACAAAGTGAACATAGTTAAAAATGTGGTGTGACTGGAAAATCAACAAGTGACCGAAACAAAAAGTTGAAGAAATGTAAAGGAAAGCAATTTACCGTAAAGCTTCCCATCAAGGCTTCCACTGATCGAGTGATCTATCATCGAAAGATCATTTATTATAGCAGTCGACTTGTTATTGATAAAAGACTGCTTGCACGCATCCGTTGAACTTTGATGCGTATTTCACTTTGACCAAAGAGTCAGCACGATTTTAATATAAAACGCGATTGAAATACAAATAACAACAGAGCACCAGAGTGATTGCATGGAGGAAATACTCGATCCCAAAGCCATTTGTGGGTATAACCTATTCTTTGTGCAAATTTAAATTTCATTATCTTCTCACCATTACTGTTTTTAATAATATTATCACTATCATCTATCCCCCATCTGTGTGGTTTGTTAAATGAAATTTTGGGTTCTATCGTCATATAGCCTCAAATTATTTCACAACGTTTCGATATCTGGCGAATAACTGATGGTTTTGTTATTGGTAACTTTCTGGACTTTATAGTCTTCCCATATTGTGGGATTGGTCATGCCATTTAGCAACAGACCGAAGGCAAAGCCAATAAATACTCCAAAAAAGAATTCGCTCCGGAGATTATTGCTCAAGTTACAATATTTATTGCGTTTAGTGTGGTTATTTAAATGTAAGTAAATTGGCATTGTTTTTATGGTATAGAACAAGTTTATATATTAATCGTGCTATTATTGTTCTCCGTGAACATATAAATACGAAGTGTGTGAGATAAGTATCACGCGCTCCTGCGACTTCAATCAATAATATAAATCTGCATCGCCACTACTATGAAACAATATGGACATAAATGCTTCTTAAATAGTGAAATTTAATCAAAGTTTGGTCATAGTTTCCAAATTAAACATAAAGAAATAAATGTAATAAATAATTGTTCGTGCCTTATTACGGAGTATTGAACAAATTTAATCGTTTTCTATTCGTACAATAAGTGCACACCTCCTTCTGCATACAATGGCAGTAATTATGTAAAGATCTAGAAAGTTTCTAATAATACAGTCAACTGCCTTTACAAAGCCTGCACTTAGAGAAGCTGTACTCCCACTGTATATATACGGGAATGATCTGCAAATGGCCGAATTAAAGAGTCCGGATTATCGAAAATCCGAATTAAAGGCAGTTGACTGACTGTAGTCATTGATTAAGCCACTGATCATTGTCAGTATACTAGATCACTTTGCAGCACATCTTTCTATTGTAACCGCACAAAAAAGATTTTCACCTTGCCACACGCTATGATGCAATAGCTGGAAGCGCGAACTTGAAACATAGAATCGCGTTATTGTGTACAATTTTTTTTGCTGCTTTTATAACGTGTTTGGTTGGACTTGCTTACGATGTCCGGCAAGATAACTCTCCCCACTGGCCTCCCCGAAAACGTCCAAGACTGGAAACGCTCTGAGGTGCTCGAGTTTCTTAATAACAACAGAATCCAATATGACCTCGACAACAAGGACATTCAAGTCATTGGAAACAACAAGGTCGCTGGCATTGCCCTTCTCGCGCTGACTGAAGAGAAGCTTCGCAGCATTGGGCTGACCTTTGGTCCTGCTGCGGCTATCGCTCAGCTTGTCAAAGAGCTCAAGCTAGCGAAAGGGCTAGCAACTGCTCAACCAGGTAATGACTTTGTGACTCGAGCATTGGGGACATAGAGTAGTGTACATAGTAATAGGGTAGAGTAGACATAGTAATGTGGATTGTAATATAGTTTTATTGTGAGAATGTTCTTCTGCCACTCTTTCTTCTCATCTTCGTCTTCCCCCAGTTTCATCCAACTGTTTATTTTGTTTGATATTGAGAAAATACTTGGTATAAATGTGCATTATTGACTAGATTGTACTTTTCCCCCTTGCTATCATAGGTAAAAGGAAGGGTGAATGGGAGCAGAGTTTGCAAACAACTAAGATGTAACCCCTCAACTAGATATTTACTAATGTGATAGACAGAGAGTGCATTATCAAGAGTTTAATATGCAGCCCTTCAGAGCTGCAAGTCCTGTTATCTAAAAGCTGTGTAAAAAAAAGTGAGGGTTTTTAGGAGAACAAATAGAAGAGAATTAACTTTGATAACTCATATCCATGCAATATCATTAGATGCTGGACAAAAGTGTAAAGGAGATGCAGGTATGTTGTTGCCTACTCAGATAATTCAGAGGCACCAGGAATCTGCTTGTAACTTAAATATATTATTCACAGAATTCGATTGTCCTACAAAGAGGTATCGGTGTAATATTTCAACTACTGGACCAATACACCCAGAGGCCTCTACCTTAGTGCTTCCCTTTCTTGAGCGGGATATTTTCACACAGGTGATAGATGGGCTTTGTAATGAATGGATATCATTCATCATTTATGGTCCATACCAATCTGGCAAGACCACATTCCTGCTTGCACTTGAAAGAGCACTTAAGGATTCTAATATAGAACCTATATACTTTGAAATGGCAGGAGCAAAGGGTAGTATCAAGAAGTTTGGCTATGCAGATGGATTTACTAGATTTATATCAAATCTCATTTTTGGGAAAATACTCTCACAAGAAGAATTGTATAAACAGATCATGGAAACGGAAAAACGGTTTATCTTGCTTGTTGATGAGTTACAGTACATCTTTACATCTGATGACCTTCTCTCTGTAGGAAAAACTTTCTTCAGAAACATCACATCACATAGTAATATTTCCTATGTTGCTGCAGGCACTTTCAAGCTTACCGATCTCATGGACAATACAATGTATAGTCTACCCAGGGAAAATGAAAGGTTTGAATCACTTTTTAACAGGGCCAAGTTCTGTAGGATACCATTCTTTAATGTGCAAGAAATGGGCAAGATTTTTGATTTATATAATGATAAAGTTGACCCATATCCAGTTCCTTTGGATATCAAGCTAAATATCATCCATGAGTCCTGTGGACATCCTGCATCTTTTATGATTCTTTTAAAGATCTACAATGATATTCTTCCAGCAACTTTACTTGATTGGAAAGTGGTAATGAAGCAGAATATTGTTGAATATAGCAATGGAACTCACATGAAAATCAGAAAATATCTGTTATTGATGAGTGATGATCAAAAACAGCATGTTCGCTCACTCACAAACAATGGGATAGATATTTGGACAGCAGATTTGGGCCTTCTCAATCATTTAGAGAAAGATTTGCTCAACTTTGGGATCCTTGTGTCTCCCAATGCACAAAGCATTCGGTTTACAAGTTGTATCATCTTGTGTGTCTGCATTGAAAATCTCTGGCCACAAGCAAAAATTTGTTTACTAGAGTCAGACCTGGTTTCTGCTGAAAACTTACTAAAATATGGATTACAAAATATTTACCCCCCTATGGTTGCACATGAATGGGTCCAAAACAAGGAGGGCCCTGCTGAAGCAAGTTTTCAGGCTGCACTTTATTCCGTTTTCAATGGCCTGCTTCCCACAAGTATGATGTGCTTGTTTGAAGTAAATGCCCATGGCAAAGAAAAGCTTGATCTATTGGTGGTCAAAGATAGTGAGGGATTGGAGAAATGGGCTGGCTACAAACTAAAAGTCAAGAAGATATCAGAATCTGATTTTAAGGAACCTCTAAAACAAGCTAAAAAATATGCTGATTATTTTAAAATGGACATTCATCTTGTCAACTTTTATCTGGAGAATGTTCACCCAGTATTTCCATCTATTGCATGCATACCTGTATTAAATGTTGCATGCAACATGAATTGCACAGAATTTACAATTCGTTCATCTAAAGAGGATAAGGGGATCAAGGTTAACAATATTCACAATATAGTGATAGAATAGCAGATTATCATTTCCATATCTAGTTATGTTCCTTGCTTTGCTTCTAATATTATTATTATTCCCAACAGCTTTATTTTTATTTTGATAATAATAATAATTAATTTACCAGCTCCTCAACATCTTGTAAGCCTTTTCTAATTTTTTGTTTCTTTGCTTGGGTATAGCTTAGTTAATTCTTGAATCCTATGTTTTAACTTAGATCTATCATCATGTTGTAAAATATAAATCCTATTTCGTGCCTTAATGTATCCTTGTTCAGCTGCCTTTTGATATAACTCAATTGCTTTTTGTTCATTTTTTTCCACTCCAATTCCATTTTCATAAGAATAACCAAGATAATATTGTCCATATGCATTTCCTTGTTCAGATGCATTTTGGAATAATTCAATAGCCTTTTGAATATCTATTTCTACTCCAGTTCCATTTTTGTAACATATACCAAGCTGAGTTTGTGCAAAGGCATTTTCTTGTCTGACTGCCTTTTGATACCATTCAATTGCCTTTTGTTCATCTTTCTCTACTCCAATTCCATTATTATAACAGTAACCAAGATGATATTGTGCATTAGCATCTCCTTGCTCAGCTGCTTTTTGATACCATTCAACTGCCTTTTGATAATTTATTTCTGTTCTAAGACCATATTGATAGTGGCGACCAAGATTGTTTTGTGCACTAGCATATCCTTGTTCAGCTGCTTTTTGATACCATTCAATTGACCTTTGTTCATCCCTCCCCACTCCATATCCATACTGATACAACCAACCAAGATTATGTTGTGCATTAGCATATCCTTGTTCAGCTGCTTTTTGATACCATTCAACTGCCTTTTGCTCATCCTTCTCCACTCCATATCCATACTGATACAACCAACCAAGATTAATTTGTGCACTAGCATATCCTTGTTCAGCTGCTTTTTGATACCATTTAACTGCCTTTTGTTCATCTTTTTCTACTCCAGTTCCATGAATATAACACACACCAAGATTATATTGAGCATTAGCATTTCCTTGTTCAGCTGCCTTTTGATACAATTCAACTGCCTTTTGTTCATCTTTTTCTACTCCAGTTCCATACATAACACAAGGCAAGATTAAACTGTGCCTTAGCATTTCCTTGTTCAGTAGATTTTTGATACCATTGAACTGCCTTTTGCTCATCCTTTTCTACTCCAGTTCCATTTTCATAACAACACCCAAGATTAAGTTGTGCAATAGCAATTTCTTGTTCAACTGCTTTTTGGTACCATTCAACTGCCTTTTGTTCATCTTTTTCTACTCCAGTTCCAAGTCGATAACACAAACCAAGATTGTTTTGTGCTGAAGCATATCCTTGTTCAGCTGCTTTTTGATACCATTCAACTGCCTTTTGCCCATCTTTTTCTACTCCAGTTCCATGTCTATAACACTCACCAAGATTAGATTGTGCCTTAGCATTTCCTTGTTCAGCTGCTTTTTGATACCATTGAACTGCCTTTTGCTCATCTTTTTCCACTCCAATACCATTCATATAACACCAACCAAGCTGAGTTTGTGCAAAGGCATTTTCTTGACTGCCTGCCTTTTGATACCATTCAATTGCCTTTTGTTCATCTTTTTCTACTCCGTGTCCATTCTGATAACACCAACCAAGATTGATTTGTGCACTAGCATTTCCTTGTTTGGCTGCTTTTTGATACCATTCAACTGCATATTTTTCTGCTCCAGTTCTATATGGATGAAAATATTGTGCTTCTACACCTTCTTTGAAAAAATTACTTGAAACTTCTGTAATACACTTCTCTCCCTCATTCTCGGGGATAGTAGAAGTCATTTTGTTACAATTGGTTAACTCTTTGCTAGAAAAAAATTTTTTTTTAATGTAAGATCTTTATTTTGCTAGAAAATTTTACTGATAAATGTGAGAGTAGTACAATATTAATATTCAGACGGTATCACAAACATTCCATACACAGTCGTACAATACGGGTAGTATAAGTATACTACTATTACTATTACTATTACTATTAATTTTTGATTTGACATAATTCATAAACTTTCAGCATACATTCCTATTTGACTTACTATTACAGATGTCTAACATTGTCCACTTGCTACCGTCAGGCAGAACAGTTGACGACATGTTACAGGACCTAATATCTCATCATAAAACGATCGATGTACACCACAACCATGAATTATTTTATAATATAATTCATATAGACGATGATGTGATTAGGATGCTGCTTTCCGGGGAAGACGTAGACTTTTTGAAGTCTATTCAGCAGGTCTCTGACACCAGCTTATCCCCACCCGATCGAGCGTACGTTCACCAACTACTGGTAAACGCAATGGCGGGCCCGTTTCAACGTGTTCATGTTACTGGTGATGGTACGTCTCTTGAGCGTATGGATACTCCCGCTGTTCTTATTCCTGGTACCTCTGCCTCTATTGGATTGGTACCATACGCTGTAACGGTCATGGGAGAATTGTATGTCTTCACAACCTGAGCTTTTGCGTATTTCCGCACACTGGGCTAATTGGTTATTCTTTTAGTGCCAGACTGTTGAAATATGGGGGTGTTGACCCTGATTACGCGGGACCAAATACTTGGATGATAGAGGTGTTGGCAATTCTCTTACGTGGGCTGTTCCTCTCGTTGGTGAATGTACGCAGTTCCTGGTATGCTACTAATCAATAATTCCCGCACTTTTTTCCGACACTTTTATGGTAGTACAGCATAACCGAGTGATTAAAGGGAATAGTGTTATCAAAGTGTCGGAATTATTGACTAAATATAGATTTGAAGATTTGTTTTACTGAGATTAGCGAATAATGGATTTGTAAACAATATTTCAGGCGTCTCGAGAGTGACGTAAGTAAAACGGTATTACAGTTCGTTATTATTATAGTAAATTTAACGAGTCAACCGGATGAAGAGAGGCCATACGTATTAATGTAAAGAAATAAGCGAAAACGGAAAATGAACATAAGTAACTCTCCAAGAGAATTTCTGTAACGACACTATGATTTTTAAACAAAATTGCATTATTTTAGGAGGAACGATCTACCCAAAAGCACACTTTCACTTTAAAGTGGCAAGATAGGAATGGAAACTTTTGGGAAATGCTAATAGGTGAATTCTCGGGATGGCCCTTTGGCTTTGATCCAGAAAAGTGCTTCACCGACAGATGTGAGCTGTTCCGTAGCATGAAGGACATCCTCGATGCCCGCATAGCACAAGCCCTCCACATGAGCCAGGGTAGAACAGATCAAAGTATGCTAATGTATGGCATACAATCTCGCGGAACTAGTATCGACTTGTTCGCTTTGAACATGCCGTTTCCGCACATATATGTCGTTAGCTTGATCTGTTCGCTGGAGATACCCTATCTTATGGAGAGAAATTACGAACAACAAATCCTAATTTTGGTTGACAGACTCTGGAACATATTAAGGGTATTTAAGTGTATAAGCCAATTTATTATGCAGATCAATCTATTTCAATGTTTTCCAATTCTCTTTTTTATAGAACGGCGTCGCAGAAGAAATCATAAAAATAACAACCATCGAGCTTGATCGTCCATTCCCAAATCCTGAAGAATTTGCAACTCAATTACAGTAAGACGAGTAAATAAAATAACCACATATTGATATGTATTTTGGAGTCAAAGTTTAAAGCAATGTTCGCTCTACGAGTTTGAGAATCACCCACATATGTATGCTGATAAAATAGTGAGAATATTATCCTCCCTTTTCTTCCTGTGTACAGTCAATATGATACCACGAATTCTACAATTCCCTATTGTAATATTTCTATGCGCGGGTTACATACAATCGTATCAGACGAATAATAACTGTCCCGTGCGCTTGGATACCGAATATACTAATACTGTAAAGTACTACAATATTATATTGTCATGTGACAGTAACATAGATTCAAAAGAATGTAAAAACTGGCTCTTCTTATAATATATAACCGTAAAATCATATAATGACGGATAACGCGAAGCTACAACATAGCTGCCTTAACTGCGGGTATATTCCAACGTGCGATTGGGATGCTGCACCATTAGCCGGAGTAGTAGGGCCACGCGATAAGAGATATTATATCCCGTATTCGTTTTTCGTTCTACAATCATTTCAGCTCTCTCGTCAAGAAAAAGCACGTTTTCTTGGCGCACTCAAGCACAATTACGATATTTAGACAGCGATGGAATACCACAAGAAACGTTAGATCTTTTAGAAACAACAAAAGGAGACTCTCGCCGAGGAACTGTAGCTGATGAATTCATAGAGTTTACCCGATAAACGGACAAATCGTTGCGTCTCCCGGTGAAGAATTTGGGAATGTAACAATTCCGAAAGGTCATCGATATGTAGCAGTACCGGAGCAGGCGGTAGATTTGGAACCACTATGGGAGTTTTCGGATCTCCAATAGGCAGCTTCAGAATTACGAGTAAGTGCTGCATTAATATTAAGAGGTTTAGACTTGATAGTGTGTCGATGTTTGTAATATTTGACCTTGATGTATTAAAACAAAAAATTATAGAAAAAAAAATAACGAAAAAATTACAGAAAACACACACGATACAGTATAAAAAAAACACTGTTTAGACCCTCGTGAAAAGACGCAACTATTCAATAACATGATGATTCGAACGGACTTGGAAACAAAGATTACACCTCCAATGGCATTAGATTTACTCATGAAACGTCAACAACTAAAAGTGCGCGGAGTAGTTTCGTGCAGTCTATGGGCAATGCAGATGAGGAATTTCAAATTTGCGCCATTTAGATTAGAGATATAGTCTTACATCTTTCATGCTTACATTGTTGTATGGACGCGTTTTGGTCTAAATTACTTATTCAATTTTTTTTCTCTTCCAATTATGTATTTGATTATTTTGTCGTACAGCTAGTTAAGACCAGACCCAGTGATGATCATACATTTGGATATAAGAGACTGGATGGGTGAATGGAATGCCAAGAAAATCATCTATTGTGATAAATGAGCCAATACTATTACCAAATCCTGTTCCAATGGAAGAGCACAAGAGTACTGGGAGAGGTGTTTGGGGACGACTTTCCTCCCATGCAATCGCTCTAGTAAATCTTCACCTGAACTTCGTGAGGAAGTTTGCGAAAACAGCTAGTTTAGCGGGAATGTGTTACGGTCGGACGGTCTGGTTATTTATTATTATGCTAACAATATAGAAATAATTAAATAATTAAAAAATATAATACAGTGAGACTCCTCTAAATGCATCTCCTCTAAATGCATAACTCCTCTAAATGCATACTTTTGTCTGGTCCCGAG